CAGAGCTCTGGGAGTCTGGGAATTCACTAGAGGTCATGTTGTTCTAAAGAGAGGTCAGTCCATGCTCTTGTCACCTTCTGTCACAGTGTCCTACAGTCAAGGGTCACTTGATCTAAAACAACTCTAAAACCATGAGCCTCCTTTGTTTTTTTTTTTTTTAACACTTTTTATCAAACTTCAGATATTTTATTATTATAGGGACAGAAAATGCACAGACAAATAAGAAACTAGTTTCAAGCCTCAAATCATCATTGACAGAATTGAGAAGAAAGGGGCTGCAACCACGATGGAGACTTTGAACATCTGAATCCAAGGATATCCTACCGGCTTCAAAAACAGACATAGCAGAGGCTGGGGAAGTACAGTCCCTCAGCATGCCCTGCAAAGCCTTTTCCCAACATGCCTCATACAGACACTGAGGTGAACAAACTGTCTGGGGTAACAATCACCTTGGGGGGGGGGTATAAAACTGGGGTCTTCTCCACAGGCTCAGCCTGCCAGGCTGGCACTTGGGACAGGTCTCTGTGCCTATGTCAGACAGCCTCCTTCCAGGTATATTTTTTAACCCTATCCGGTAAAGGAGGAACTTGACACAACCTCATCATAGTATGGGTAGTTATCCCAGAACCACATGAAAGTGCAGTAAGCCAATAAAATGAATAAAATTGAAAAGACAAGAAAATTAGTTGAAAAGGTCCAATTTTGTGTTTCATAAAACAAACAGAGAATCTCACTTGTCTCTATTCATTCAGTCATCACACGTCTACAGCACTGGAAAGGGAAACTAGGAAAGCAGAAACTGCTCAAAAAGAAAATGCTTTCTTGAAAGGAAGAACTCAGCCCTCTGAAGGTACAAACTGGGTCTACTTGGTTTACGGTGAAAGAGAAGCACAGAAAAGCTGCGCTGGCATCAGCGTGCACTTTCCTTTCAGGAGATGAAATAGTTGCCGTAAAGATCTAGAGCAGCAGGTACTGGAACTGTGCGGGGTCCCCGGTTTTTACCAGGTAAGGATTTGGGGACATGGTAAGCAAAGTGTTTCCCTTTGTCATGAAGATCCTGGGGCATGGTCAAGTCACTGGGTGACTGGCTGAGAGCTGCTGCCAGATGCATACTTCCCCATCTTTGTGTCCTCATCCTTGTCGCCCCATCTCTTCTGCCTTTTAGTCCAGAGATGCTATCTAGCCAGGCAAACACACCTCCACCACATAGTCAAGGGTCATACCCAGCCCTTCCGTAGATTTAGTTACTTTTATTCTTCTCTCATACAATACATTCTGACTGCAGCCTCCTCTCCCTCCACTCCTCCCCAACCTCCCCTCTCCCTCAGGTCCACTCCCGTTCTTTTCCCTTCAGAAAAGAGCAGACCTCCCAGGGCAACCAACCAAACACAGCATAACAAGATGCAGTAAGACGAAGCACAAACCCTCATATTTTAAGACCTTTATAAACCATCTCACCTGTCTGTTACTATAAATGGCTAAAAAGAACCCTGCCCTCAAGCATAACAAAGCTGGCTTCTCGTTGCAATGTTCTGTCGTACCTGTGGTAAGATCATCTTAGTTTTACACACAAACTTCCTGGGGACACAGCAGTCTATCAACAGGAAAATACTTTCTGTGGGGTTCAAAATTTGTTAAAATGAATTCTAAAAGAGACCTGTATGTTTTATTTCAACTTAAATGCCTGCAGGTTTCTGGATTCTAGTTGAGTAGAATTTTCCCTGGCTACCGTCAGTGGCAGCAGCTTTGTAAATGATTTGGTAAACTTTGCTTTTAATGTCTAGAGGCACTTTATCCATGGCCATCTACAGTGTAAAAAGAGTAAAAAGACTGGCCCAGCAGAAAGATAAAAACTATGCCCCCCTGGAAACGAGTAAACTGGCAATGTCAAAGGAGCAGTAAGTATTTTTAGTATACCTGGAGAAGTTGCTAGTGGGGTGTCTACCAAACTTTCCTTTCAAGGCATGAGAAGGCCCTTCGGTAGGTGGGATCCATCAGGAGTCTTAGGTGTTCAGTAACACAGTTGAACCCCTCAATAGTTATGGAAGCCATGGGGCATGCCCACAGGAGCTCCCGAAGGTAAGCTTCAAGCAGACATTGGCAGTCTGAGTTCACTGCCCACAAGTCACAGCCTCCCAGGGAACACATGGTTGAACAACTGGGGACACGCCATGTCAGTTACATTCAGGTAGAAAGTAGATGCCTACTTCTCCCGTTCTCATCTTCTAGGAGATAAAACATTGATAAACATTTGCTTTTCTTCATCAGACAGACCTTGAAACTAATAACTCTGCCAAGGAGGGTAAGGACGTATATCAGGGAAGTGCCATAGTACAGAGAACCAGGGTTTGGGCAGTAAGAATTGAACACCAAGGGCAACTTGTAGAAGGCTTCCAAGAGTGGCTCTAGTGGGCATTTGTGCTCTCACCAGCACTCAGGACTTCAAGACCCTGAGGACGACTTTTCTCTCCGAAATAGCATTCCTGAAATGAATGAATCCCCAGCTTCCATATGTGATAAGGACCAACAACCACTCTTCAAAGACGAGCAATTACAGAAATCTCACATTGAAGGCCTCCACCTCTGGTCGCTCAAAAGCATATTTTCTCCAGTTTCCATTTCTTGGGCGTGCGTGCACGCACGCACACACACACACACACACACACAAACACACAGACACACACACCACCCACCCAACATAAACTCTTGGTAATCCTCCCCAAAAGTCTGATAGAGGCACAGGCAAGTCACATCTAGCACGCCCCCTGCTGGCCTGGCAGGAGTAGACTCAGCCTTTATTCTATGGGTCTAAATCACGGATGAATGACCTTAAAATCCAGATGCTCAGACAAATGACAAGGTAAGGCAATTTGGGCTTCGTAGAAATGAAGGGCATAGTATTAAACCTAAACTCATCTCAAGTGTGTTTTCAAAAATGTTACAGGATATGAGACTAGTCCCTAAAAATCTAGACGAAATGGTTGCTGTTACATATTCATGAGTATAACAATGAATAAATAAAAAATGTGAATGTTTTGACAGGTCTACAGGTGGAAACAACAGATACAAGGGCCACCATGGTTTCACAGATTCCATTTCCACATCCCAGACTGCTAAAACCGCTCACCACCAAAGGCACTTTAAATACAGAAGAATCTTGGCGCTACACACAAGCACAGGGCAACCTGTGTCAGAAAAAAAACACAGAAAAGCACTGCGTGTGGCCAACTTCACTACAGAGCTTGTTCACCCAGCATTCCAATGTAAGTAGGTTTATCATTATCAAGAGGTCAGAGATCACCCACTAGTAGTTGTCCCCTCTCCTCCTCCAGCAAGGTAGAAGACCTCAGAATTTCCTTCTCAAGGGACACCTGCTACCTAGAATCTAGGCATAAGTGAGATTTAGGACCTATCCAGACTTCAGGAAGCAATGGTTTATGTTCACTATCACCCTGAACACTAAGGCCCAACGGTAACCACTATTTTCAAGATTCAAAAGCTTCACATTTGTAGCCAGATTCAAACCTCCCTGTGGCATATGACATGAAATTCCTTGCAAACCCAATATGATCACACTAATAATTTAAGGCGTCCTTATGCTGGTCAATTAGGAGGTGTCATTAATTATTAAATACAAAACCATCAATACTTTTGTCTCGTATTAGATCTGCTTTTGATACAATAGGCTTAAGTAGATGTTCAGACTGTCTTGGGAACCAGCTTGTCTGTTCCCATAAGAGCAGATACTAATGGCTACTGGCAATCTTAAGAGGAATTCCCCCCCCCCCCCCAGAACTTGGTGTGCTCTGAAGATCTCTAGTTTTTACATTCCCTGAATGCTTTGGAGCGGTCGTGGGGTCTTGGAGGACACACAACTGCTGGAAGAGCCCTAGGAAAACCAGCACCCTTTGCGGTGTGTGTGGTGGGGGGCAGACTCTCTCAGGCACACCCTAGAAGGGGGATGTTGGTGAAGGAGGAGCCTTGCAGTTTCACCTGAAGCAATCAAGGCCTGCAGAGATCTAAGCTCCATTGTCTATCTTTGCTTGGACACCACATTAAACAGATCATTTTTTAAAAAAGTGTTTCTCTAACAGGTCACTTTGGTTTATAGAGATAAGGCAAGGTACAAGCGCGTCCTGCCATCTGTGTGTTATCAGCTGACTTCCATACCTGTAGGGACACATGTCCTTTCAGTCACTCCTAAATGTCACTCTAATTTTCAAGCCAACAGAATTAAAAACTGCACTTATATGAGTTTGGGGGTTTTGAGCGCAAAGAGGCGAATTCATTCGGTGGCTAAGATTCTCAAAGAGCTGCAGTAGCTGCACCGGTCGGGAGGAGGGTACACTTGAGCGGTTATGTCCAATGAAGGAAAGTTTTAGTTAATGATGACATCACTGGCATCTCCCAAATTTAAAGGAGCACTTAAAGCACAGCGGATACAATTTTTCCCCTCCAGTGAGGCGACACTAGGGAAGGCCTCTGGGTTCAGAGCTAAATTGCACCAATCTTTTCGCGGCTGTCCAGCCAGATCCGGAGAAACCACCAGTGAGAGGTGCGCGGGGCCACGGTGACCCACGCAGCCACAGCCCGGTGCAAGCCAGCGGCCTCGCGTGCCGCTCTGGACCGGTCCTGCCCTTTGGACCCCCGACGCGCCCCCACGGACGGAGGGCCCAGTCCCCGCGCGCTTGCCATCACGTTCCAGTGCGGAACCGCGAAAAGGGCCAGGAGGTAGCAGCTCCCGAGCCAGCGGCAGCGCCGCGCCCCGCCCGCACCGGGCTAAAGCCGGAGCCGGTGGCCGTGGCGCCCACGGGATCCCAAGCGGATCCCGCAATGCAGACGCGCAGCGAGCCCTGCGCCCCCGGCGCCCTGCGGCTCCGGCCCGCGCCCACTCGCCTCGCGGCCGACAGCAGAGCGACCCCGCGCCGTTCGCTCCAGCGCACCTGCCCCGGGCGCCCGGCCCGCCGCCCTCAGGCAGCACCGCGGCCAGCGCCACTCACCTGCCGCGCCGCCTGCCGCTTCGCCCGCAGCGCCGCAGTCGCCGCTAGCCGACTTCCATCTTTTCTGGCGTTGAGAGAACCAGATCAGCTGTTCCGCTCGCTCGCTCGCTCGCTCGCGCCAAGCCGCGGCCCCCTCCCCAGCTGCCGCGAGGCTCCCGGGCCTCTCCTCCCCCGCCTTCCTGGCTGCGCCACGCTCCGCCCCCCGCGCCCCTCCGCTCCGCCCGCGGTCGCGCGCAGCGCCCGCCTCCCGGCTCCGCCCGCGGCCCCGCGGCGCGCGCCCCACCTGACGTCACCGCCTCCACCTCGCTCCGACCCCCGCCGAGGTGGTGCGGGCGCGGGAGCGCGCGTGCTCGTGGCCACCCTTGGCGGCTGTAGCACCTAGCCCTTTGAGGACATGCTAGGACCCTTTGGGTCTCCGCGCACGCGCTCCCAGGCTCGCCCCTGGACTACATCGAAAGCGCCACTTGCTCACCCTGCCTCTCTTGGTCTGTGTTCACCTCTGGTTTCTTCCTCTGGGCTGCTTCGCTTTTCCTAAGCACCCTAAACTTTAGCTGGACTGTTCTGTCTCAGCTCCGCTTCCCACGCCCCTTTGGCCTTCCCCTCTTTCTTTTCCCCGGAATAATGTTTACATGACTGTTTAAGACGTTTTCCCTGTCCTGATACCAATGGCGCCTCTGCTCTCTGCCTTCTCATGTAACCCGTCGTGGTGTAGCTTTTGCTTGTCAGGTTCGGAGCTGGACATTACCACATTCTAGGTCCCTTGTTCAAGAAACTGAAATAAAGGTGTACAGGGATTTGCAAAGTAACAACAAAACGAAATGCAAAGCCAAAAGCAGATCAGAAATATACACAGTCGAAATATATACAGTGGGCCACATCAGTGAGCCCACTCAAAGGCTCGAGATAATTTGGAGGGTTCGTTCTATGGGCTTCCGGAGAAGGAGGTGTTTGGTTGCTAAAGCATATAGCGACAGTGGTTCTCTGTTTTGATTGACAGAGCAGGTTATGTAAGCCGTTTGTCACTGTGCAAGTCCTTTCCTATGATGTTTGATTTTAATCATATGCATACCCAACTATGCATAGTCATACGATGGTTAAGTATTTTTCGTAAAAGTTTACTCAGAGCATACTCCTTATTGTGCACGCGCACAAAAACTAGTTCAGGCTGAATCAGGACCCCGTTCTTGTACCCTAGTATAGCGAAAATTAGTGAAGAGCAACTGTCAGTGTCTAAAGGTCTCTACCAACATTGTTTACAGTGGGATGAGGATACAGCTCCATGCAGATGGGCATTCTAGGTTGCTAACAGGTTGCTAGTGCATTGTTAGGATGTGTATGGCCAAATGAAGTTTCAAATTACTAATCTATGCACTATGCATATAGTCCTCAACTTTGCTGAGAGACTTTTTTCCCAGGGGAGTTGAAGACCAGTCTTCAAACTGCTTTGTGCTGTGTAAGAGTCTAAAGCTGAACAGGGCAAAATCCAATTTCCTATTCTGTCCCTAAGGCTGTTATAGCTCCTGGGTCTCCATTAGTGAATTCCCAGAAAATTTCTCAGACTGCTAGTCCAGAGACAAACAAACGACTCCCTTCGTTTGGTCTCCTCTGGTGGCAGCTGTTGATGGAGCACCATTCACAATTGAGGTTGTTGGGCTGTAAAGACATAAACTGTAGAATTATCAAGACGAGGAAAGCCAAGAATGAACAGAACACTCAGGAAGAGGATGGGCATCTTTACAGGAAAAAGTACTGACAGTGCCCAGGACTTTGAACTTGAAAAGCTATACTGTCCAGGGTTCCAACTCAGGCTTCTTTCTGGAAGATATTTTTTGTATATTGTGTTGAATTTTTCCAGACTTGTCTTTGAAAGACCCTCGAAGAGGACTTTCTCTCAGGAGGAGACCTCCCCAATACCAAGGAACAGGCCGAGACCATACGGATGCAAATCGCAAGAGGTTTATTGGGTAAACACAGGTACCTGTGGGCCACAAGTCTTTCAGAGGACTTGCTCGCCTGCTGACTGGAGGGCGGGTTTTTTATAGGGAAGAGCAAAAAACAAGTTTACAGAAGCAAAAGCGTGGTTATCGGAATGAGGCGGGGGCATGAATGGTTTCCTCTCTCAGCATGGGTGTCAGCAAAAGTCATCCTGTTCCTATCTTATAGATATCCTGTTTTGCAGTCAACCTGCTTTGTTGATGTCCTATCTTATTGATATCCTGCCTTGCCATCTTCCTATCTCATCCAGCTCTCTCAAGCACCTGGGATGTTCTTACGAGAGCAGGCTGGCTGCTGCAGGTTTTGAGGAGGGGGTCTGTAGGGTCTTTCAGTCTTGACATACACATGTTATTTAATTCTTGGAACTTCAGCTCAAAGTGTCCCTTCCTGGCTCTGGTAGTTTGCATGGGAAATGTCCTATAGGTTCACGGATACGACACTTGGTCACGGGTTTGCAGTGCAGCTCAGAGGTGGTTGGAAACCTTAAGGAGGCCAAGTGATGCCTTGTGGAGGAAGCGTGTCACTGAGGGCAGACTTGGAGGATTTATAGCCGCAACCTTCTTCTTCTTTTGTCCTTCTCCTCCTCTCTTCCTCTCCTTCCCCTTCCCTCCCTTCTTCCCCTCCCTCCTGCTCTCCCTCTGGCATGGCAATGGAACTGTGAGGAGCCAGCTTCCTCCTTCTGCTGCTTTGCCTAGCCTAGCTCATTGCCACGTTTTCCCTACGATGGATTCTATCATATATATGGTTCCGTCAGGAACCATATGCTAAAAGAGAACCCTTTCTTCCTTAAAGTTGCTTTAGGTCATGATATTTTTACCACAGCAAGAGGAAAGTAACTAATAAATTGACCAAGCATCACATTTTACTCTTGAAGAGGCTAGCTATTGTTTTATGTCCCGTGGAGCAAAGGAAGCACATTCCTAGGTTCCGCTGAATAGGTGGAAAGGGCATCTTCAGGAAGGACAAACAGTTGACAAAGCCATTAAGGAATAAATCCCTGGATCATACCAAATCTACGGCCTTCATGAGCAGGGTCTGTTTTTCCTTTATTTTGTCTTCTATATCTAATAATCATTTATATGCAGCACATAATTAAAATATTATACCTAAAGTTAAAATAAGAAAGGAACAGATGAAGGCATATGAACTAACTCAAAGACCTCTGCTCGAATCAATACTGCTTAGTCATATTGATTGTATGCTTTGCCCCTCATGTCTAGAAGACTTTTTACATGTAAATTCTTAGAGTAAAAGTAAAGTTAACGTTTAGGGAAGGCAAATAGGTACAATAGAACCCAACTAACAACACAATAGGTTCACTAAGGAAAAGATTGGCATTATTTTATCACTAGGGTCATGTCCAAGAAAACTCCAAATATCTTGGACAATTTTCAAAGTATCAATTAAAAAAGGATTTAAGAAGCATAAAACATGAGACTCAGAACTACTATTAGTGGGGTTTGGAATTTAGTTACTTGGGGTACCCAATTGTCACTACAGTTGGAGATGCATGTCCTGTGTTCCTGAAGTTCATGAAGATACCCTGATCACTCTGGGGTAAGAAATAGGAACCTAGGAGTTTATCTCTTAAAGCGTTATAGAACAGTGTTAGAAGTACCCCATAGACTCCTTTTCTTCCAGGTTGAGGGGAGCCTTTATGTGATGTCTTTTCCCAATTGATGAAATCACCTCATTTTAGTTTTTATTTATTTACTTTTCCTGTCCTTGGGAGCTTACTGTGGAAATACCCTTTAACTAATTCTGAATTTTAGCTATCATATTTAAAAGCCCTTATAATAGGTTTTCCTTTTATAAAAATGGTTCATAAAGTTTTATTTAATTTTGTATAGAATGCCAGAAATTATGAGACAGTAATGAGCATTGCAAAAAAAAAAGTAACAGATCTCTGATTTAGAGGAATTAATGGATATCTTTAAAGAAGCTGGTAGGTTTAGTCAATTTTGAGAGCTGTTGTAATTGGTCTATTGAATCACCAATCAAGCAATTGAAGATCTTATGGAGAGTTGAACCACTGGTATAATATGCAAAATTTTACAACTATGTTAAAGTCTTTGTAATTTAGTTGCAAGCAATTCTTTTTGCAGAGTTCCTTCTACTGCTAATATGGGGACTATCTGAGAAAGAAAGGCTTTGCCCCAAAGGAAAAACATACAAAATTAGCATTTGTATAAGGTCTAGTCACCAAACTTCCATGGGTTCCAAGAAAGGATAAGGCATAACTTCCTCATTCTGTGAGTCAGTGTTGGCTAATGTCTCTAAGCAGACCAATCTTTAAGAAAACTTTTTTTTTTTGTAAACAAAGGATTGGGAATCACTTTTACCTCAGAGTACTGAAGTTTGAACCTAAGGATTTTAAATAATCTTTAACTATAGTTAAATTAATTGAGTACGGAGAGATAAGAACCCCGAGTGGATATGTAAAGAGTGGACGAAGTTCTAAGTGGAATGTGTGTTGTTTAACATGGCACAGTCACATCAAAGACCGCAAAGTAGCAGACCCATGGGACTTGGCAAAGCCTTCCTCTATTCTCCCACAGTCACTCTCAGAAGGATGACAAAGCCTTCCTCTGGGTCAAATAAGAATGTTGGCAGTGTGTGCAAAAACTAGCAATGGCAACTTCTTCCTTGGGGACATCTACAACCTGAGACTTCTTGCCTACCAAGATATTCTGATGAGACTAGCTAACCCCTCCTCCTTTGCTGTACATGAAAAACACAGAGTGGAAAAATCCCACCCACCCAGGCTTTTCTGTATGTACATCTGTCCTTTCCTCACTCCCTCACTGTTCCGATTCACAAGGACACTTCCAGCTCACTTCCCATTTGATTTTTTTATATCTAGTAACAAAGGTGTGTGGTGTTTCCACCAGCAGGGGCTTATCAACTTAAACTGATGGTAATTTTGGATGTCTTCTAGGATTTCTGTAACCAATAACAAATAAATATGTTACATCTGACTCTGAGATTCTTTTTTTTTTTTTAAAAAAAAAAATAACGATTGGATTTTAAGAATCACATTGTCAGGCTGGGCTGTGGTGGTGCACACCTTTAATGTCAACACTTGGGAGGCAGAGGCAGGTGGATC